AAAGAATAATACCTGATGTAATCCAAATACCGGCAAATTTACCTAAAGTACTTGGGGTACCTGCATTGAGGCGTTCGGACCATATAAAATGACATACAACAGGATTACACGTTCAGTTTGAGTAGAGCCTAGATGCTAGATGAAGAAGAAAACCTTAGGTTCCGCGAGAAACCTTCTCGCTTATTTCACGGGCCTCCACGTATTGTGGATGATCCGCCGACTTCTGATCAGTTGGAATCCTTCTGGAAGGATATCTATGAACATCCGGAGCCACTCAAATTAGATACTCCAGCCCTAGCAGTTCGAAGCTTTCAAAAGAGATCTTCGATACTCTGAGCTGAATGAACTGTATAACCCGATAACCCTGGACGACTTTCAAAGAGCTCTTGTGGGTTCCAAGAACTTTGCTGCTCCAGGCCCAGATGGGCTGAACACCTATTGGTGGAAAAAACTACCAAGCATCCACCGCCATCAGGCCAGAGTTTTCAATTCATGGCTGGACGGAGAGCAGCCGATTCCGTATTGGTTAGTCGAGGGGCGGACTGTTCTCATCTCCAAAAGTGGAGAGGAATTGCTGGATGTGAAGAGAGCCTGTCCATCGATAGATGTTTAACACAGGACTCGATACAATACTAGCGTAACCTGGATCGATTACCGCAAGGCATGTGATACAACATCGCATGAGCTCATCTTGCATTTGCTCAGATGCCTTGCGGTACCCGACAAAATGGTGGGATGCCTTGAACAACTGATACCATTCTGGCGAATTCGCTTCACCATAACATCTAGTCAAGTCAGAGTCCAAATAGGGTGGGTCACTTTCAGAGGGGGTGTATTTCACGGCGATTCCCTCGGTCCCCATCTTTTCTGCATCTCACTATTACCATTATCCGTTGCTCTCAGAAATACTCGAGGGTATAACTGTAGCACCTTCAGAAACCAAAGGCACAAGGTCACTCATTTGTTTTATTTGGAATATCTTAATGTTATGAGTGTTAAAAGTAAGGTTTTATTTTGTGAGTGAATAAAATAGATAAATTTATTATTTCTATAAAAAAACATTTTGACATCTCTTGTCAGTTAACTTTTTTCAGGTTATCGCAATTGCTGTGAGGCGGCCGTGTCAGGTGAGGCCGAATCACCTGGTTACCAACAAACAGTATTTTTTTTAGCTCACGCGATTTATTTAAATTCACATTTAAAGTTCTTGCTGGTGTTAAATGTCTTGCATAATGAAGAACAACAACAGTGAGAAATTGTGTATTCCTGACGATATTGAAGAGGCTGCAAAAAAAGCTTACCAAAAACATGAGCTCAGTAGTACGACATCGCATATTCTAATTTTCTTATCTGGTGTAGACTTAAAAACGTCGGGGGAAGTTGCAGCGAAACCGTCTTCTTAGCCTATTTCGAAGAGAAATTAAAAATATGGAACTTGTCAACTTTCTGGAGCAAGTTTTCAATGATAAAGTCAATTGCGCTCGTTGAAAATGGTGTTCTGTATTTGTATCTGTAGAGTAGGGAGGGTGAGTGTAAGCCCACAACACTTAGGTCACATGAGACCCATTGTACATCCTCACGAGGAGTTGTCCTCTTAGGTCATTGTCTGTCCTATCCTTTCTAGAAAGGTGGACAGGTCATTTAGAGACATCTCCTTTATATCGGCAGGTATAGGCCGAGACTCGCCGAACACACCCTCTCTTATTGACGATAATTCCGGGCACTTGCATAGGACATGCCTGATAGTCTCATCTTCCTGTTCACATATCCTGCCTAGAGGTGTCTCCACTAGCCCCATTTTATGGAGGTATTTTCTCAGATGACAGTGGCCAGTCGGAAATCCTACTGTTAGGCGTAGATTTCTCCTGGTCATCGCCAGATATTTCTTCGGCGCCAGCTTCCCAGGGTGATCCTGGCAAGATAGCTTTTTTTGATTCCATCCCATCTCTTTAGGGATTGAGCATGAGTGACATTTGGCTAGTTCCGCAATTGTCGAAGTCATCAGTCCGTAGGTGCCATTAGGTCCTAAAATTCTTAGTCCAGCCGCTTCCTTGGCTAAAGAGTCGGCAATGCAATTAACTGTCGTGCCCACCTCAGGATAATGTTATCATCTACCGTGGCTAAATCTTGGTGGCACTCTAGTACAAGCCCTGAGATAACACGTTGTCTGTTCAATGCTGATAGGGCTTGTCTGCTGTCAGTGCAGATTGTTATGTTGTTAGAAATTTTTTTCCTGGTTATTTCTTTTGCGGCGATTGAGATACCAGCCAGTTCTGTTTGGACCACGCTGGTATTTTTCCCATTCCCCGCTCAATCCTTAGGCTCAGTGATCTGGAGTACACTCCACATCCTGAGCCTTCTCTGGTTTTTGAGCCGTCTGTATATATGCGTATTGCATTTGTAGCATCTGACTCTATGATCTGTTTTATTTGTATTTTGCAGAGTTTACTAAACACACATCTGGGTTCAATTGCATCACTGGTTGCCTGCAGCAGAGGTTGCGCAGTAAGCGCTTCTCGCCATAGGATCAGTCTCAATTGACTCATTCCTACTTCGAGGTTTACACCAACCGTGCGCAATCGTAACATGGCCATTAACGCAACCTCCTTAACATACTGGTCCAGAGGGCTCAGACCCGTAATTAATTCCACTGCCACGGTTCGTGTTGTTCTCATGAATCCTGTGATGTTTAAACAAGCCAGTCGCTGTATTTGATATAGTTTTTGTATGGCCGTTGCTTGTAGAACTTTCGGTCCCCATGCAATGGCTTCGTACGTTAACATCGGTCTTATTATTGCAGTGTAGATCCAGGTGACCACACGGGGTGAAAGACCCCTTGCGCGTTCCACTCTCCTCCGACGTTGCTCATGAGCCACATATGCTCTTTTTGCTCTACTCTGTAGGTGAGAGTTCTATGTTAGCTTCCTGTCGAGGTCGTGGTGTTAATACAAGCAAATATGTCAAGGTGATAGCATTCTTAAAGCGGAAAAATGAAAGTTATATGCCCAAAAAATAAAAAAATCTTACGTTTGAACAAGTCCAGAGGTTTATAAATGGGGCGTCATATGAAAAATATTTGATGATAAAAGTTGCTATTTCGGAATATATGGAGCCTGCCAGCATGAAGAGTTGTACCATTTATTAATGGAAGACTTGAATTATTGGATAAATCATTGATTGTTCAAATTCCAAATACAAAAACGAAAATAGGTCGTTCTTTTTGCATTGTTGGAAAAAACATAACTATTTCACGTTGCATTACGCGCTTATGTTATCAATCATTCCTTTTTGAAATACTCAAATTATAAATGCAGTGCCAACCCAATTGGTATGAATACGTTTGGGAAAATGCCCTCTACCATTGCTGAGTTTCTGAACCTCCCGGAACCAAAGGAAAATACAGGTCACTGTTTCAGAAGGTCTTTTGCTTCTTTGCTAGCAGAATCAAGAGCAAATGTAGCTGATATTCAGAAGCACGGAGGATGGACGTCTACAACAGTAGCTGAGGGTTACATCAATCAATCTATTTCTCATAAAAATGCTATTGCCGAAAGAATAATCCCAACAGTTAGCTCCAGCGTCACAGCATCATCCTCTTCACTTCAAGAATTAAATGTTAATGCCCATGAAATTGTTAACTCAGGTAGTTCAAATGTATTACAAGGCTTTTCAACATCACAAGGTATTGATATCAGCAGTTGTTCTAATTGTACTTTTAATATTAATGTTCATAAATAATAATAATAATGTAATTAATGTATATAATACATTTGTAACGGAATTCAGTTGTATCTATATCTATTGTTCATAATAAAACTTCCTTGTAAATTGAATAATGATGTTTTGTTTATTGCTATTTGGTCGAGAAAATCGTGTTAAAATGTTTTTAACACTAGCGTTAAAAATATTTTAAACACGCTACTTTGTAAACATCATCTTTTAAACAACATCCAACTAAACAATTACCGACACAACATCCAACGACACCTTCTACAACTAACGTTATACCTTACATTTCAAGACTATCTGAAAAAAAAATGTATTTATTAAATACCTTGTTCTTGTGGTAAAAGTTATATTGGTGAAACCTCAAGACCATTGAAAGTGCGTGAGAATGAACATCGAGATTATATAAAAAATAGACAATTGACAGGATCAAAATTATCAGAACACATTTTAAAATCAGACGGTGAACATTGGGTGGAATGGAATAGGACAAGAAAGATTACCAATGAGCCTCATTCTAAGAGACGTCAGCTAAAAGATTCAGCGTATATTCTCATGTCTGGAGAAAATTGTATCTCGAATAGCTCCTTAGAAATAGACCGTACTTGGCTACCCATCTTGAAGAAAACTTTGGATAGTGGCGAAATGGCAACAAACTGATATCGGAGAGTACCTTGTATTACATCGAATGTTTCAGTTGTTAATCAACAACATTGATATAATTTCATATTTCAAAACTTCTTTGACATCTGTCGAAGAAGTAAAGAAATAAGCTATCAAAAAAGGAATAACTGCGTATATATTCGAATTTTTTATCCATTTCTGAAGACGGAGGCAGATTTTGGCCTCCGAAACGTAAAAGATAAGTATTATTTTTTATTTTTTTTTGATAGGCAAACTTGTTAAATACGACAAGTTACTGATAAATAGAAGAATTTTCTTTGTGAAAAATACTTTGATTTTTTACGCAGTAACTTATCGGGGTAAACTAAAAAGTTTGCCCTTATACACTTTTATAAAGTTCTCCATTATAATTTTTATATTTTTTCAGATTGTGGAAGGTAACATTTACCCAAAAAAGGTCGATAAAAAAACTGATATTTTCCTCCACAAAAAATGACTTTCGTTGAATATCTTTTAATACTCTTGACAACCATTAAAATGTCACTTTCAACGACAGTTGTACAAAAACCACTATTTAAATAATATTGAATATGAACTCAAGTACTCTTTGACCAAAACTCTATTTCATGTAAAACGAATAAACCATTGATACGATTCAAAGGTGTGAACCCATCGCTCCTGACTGAGGGATTGCGATTTCCAATGAGCGTCCTACAAATTTCGTGGATTAGTCGGCTTTCGTACCGTGAACATATCAGTTGAGTCAGTAGCTTAAGTAATCCCGATTTCATGCTCAGCTTCGTGAATCGCTGAAATTATGTTAAACAATTTTCTGTTTGTTTACACCATACGGCTCGATCTGCTCGTTTAATGTACGCCGGTTGGAAGAGAACTGATTCCGGAGGATACGAGTGTTTTTTTGAATATCGTAAGTTGAAATTTACAAGACAAATAGTCACTATACAGGGCGCATCTTGAAAAATGTCATTGATTTCAGGTGGTGACCACTTGGTGGTGATCCTGCTTCGTTTTCGAGTAACGGGGTGTCACAGTTTTAGTGAAAATATTGCCAAATACACTAGAAATGAAAAACTAATTTCTTTCATTGTTTGATCTAGGTTATTATGTGAGCAAGATGCTTGCCGCGGATACAAAAAAGGTAATTTTGCGCAGGAAGATTTTGAATATGTTACAGAATAACCTAGATCAAACAATTAAAGACATTCTTTTTTTCAATTCCGTACATTAGTGTAGAAGCCTGTCTTCAAAGACGTTTTTCTTTATCACTCGCACAATTTGATAAAATTTCTCAAACTTGGAGAAACACAGAGGCGAACAATGATTTTCACGATAAATATCAATCAGGTAACACTCTGTGACGATAGAAGAAACATATTTTTAGTAAAACTCTGACACTCTGTTACCCGGAAACGGAACAAGTTAGGATATACGTTTATATGAGTTATTACCACCTCAAATTGATGACATACACCCTGTATATGTTTCATCATTCGTATATTATGTGTTCCAATGAATTTAACTATATTTATATACTTCACAAAATCTAAAGCTTTCGTGTAGAAACTGTATCTACGTTCGTTGACTTATTTTATTATACATTGTTTTCTTCTGTTTCATAATATAGGCCAACAAAAAAAATGTTTTTGAAAACTTTGTTTACTTCAATAACTGATTTTTATAGATTTTCGTGTGCTGAATCCAAATTTGGTCTTAGTTTTTCTGTATCATCCATAGTTTTTGAGACATTGACTTATTTATATAATTTAAAATCTGTACGGTATATGATAAAATTAATGAAATACTATGTTACCAATATCTTTTTTAAAACAAAACAACGATAAAAATAAAAACAACAATAAAAATTAATTGGCGCTCCGGGGCGTGTTTTTCAGCTGCAGGAAAACCCGGAAAAACCTGCAGCACCACATCATCTGAAGATCTTGATCTACCAATGTCCTCTCTCTCATAAAACAAATTGTAGGGTGTCTCCAGAGGCTCCAATAGATTCAATGCATCGTCAGAACACTTCCTGACACGATTATCGTCAAACTTAAACCAGTCCGTATCGTCTTTGACCAAGGCGTAATAATGACCAAATTCAATGCTAGAATCAAAGTGAACAATGACTGCATGAATATTATAATAGTGGTCTGCTAGATTGAAATGTTCATCTATTTCTAACTTTCCAAAGAGTCTCTTGCTTCCGTCAGAGGTTGAGTCTTGTTTGGAGATCATCAGTGTTATTATTAGATTGACTGGTGCCTCAGGTATACTTGTTTCCTTATAACAGTCAGCTAGTTTGGCGCATGTTTGGCAATACAGTCGATCATCACCTGTTGAAAATGTCATTTTCAGATGATTCAACAATAAGCTTTGCACGGACTCGCTATTAGTCAAATAGAAAAAGCTACATGAAGTTCCAGGAATTCACATGAGTTTTCGCTACCTCTTGAACTACAAAGTGAACAAGTGAGGATTTTTCCAGCAAAAGATTTACAAACACAAGACGAGATGGACTGTACGGAATCATTCAATCCAGAGAGCGGTCAGGAGTATTGATTCTGCTATTGTTTTACTCACGAAGAGTATTTAACAAGTACCTCAAGAATTTGGAACAATCCTCTTGTTGTCCTAACGAGTATCTAGTGGACTTCAAAGGGAAATCGGTTGGAGGGAAAGATGATACATTCTTACGAAACTACAGCTATATGAACAGATGTTTGAGTTTGATGAATGGGTAGGAAACATTTCCGTTCTCGTTCATCATTAAAACCTCGTTCTTGAAATTCTTCGTCATGAACAACACTTGTAAAATGCTATTATTCAATCCAATTTTCTTCTCTAGATTTTCAGGACAACTTTCTACTGATTCGTAAGGAAGAACACGTATCACAGAATCCAAGAACCATTTCTCAAGCTGCAATCGATCTTTCTGAAATTATATAAAAATAAATCAGCCCGTGTTAACTGGGTTGATTATGATAACTCCTAAGCGCCGTGACGTCCCTCGTTAGCGGGCTTTTTGGCAGAAACTACCTGAAGAATTTATATGACAGCCTCCTGATATGTTCAGTGACCGTCTAGACTTCTGCCAGATCGAACAGATCATTCAATGAAATGTATCTGTCACTGTTCGTGCAGATACAGAGCACCTTAAGGTGTGTATTCACCAAAAAAGCGAGCACGAGCGAGCATGAGTGAGCATTTTTGTATGTTTGCTCCTGTTCGCTCATGTTCGCTCGAGTTTGCTCGACATATTGATGTCTCGTCCACACCAGCGCGAATATTTCCAAGTTCGTAGTCGTAGTTGATCCATCTACATTGTGCGAGCACCTTTTAATATACCGCCTTCTTCTCGATCTTTTCTAAACGCAAACAAGCATACGTTCGTCCACTCGCTAGCCCGTACTCACCAGACGATTATTGATGCAGAATTCTCGTTCACTCTTGTTTGCTCTTGTTCGCTTGTGCTCGCTTTATTGGTGAATACGCACCTTTATACTGCATCGTCTCGAGTCTACGCAGAGGAGTTCTATTGAGGCTGGAGAATACGGGATAAGCGTACAACATAGCTGCTCTGATTACTCATTTGTAAATTAGTAGCTTGTTGTTGACGCTATGCTTCGAGTTCCGTGGAATGAGCGGGTACGTGCGTTTAACCGCAGCACCCGCTCGTTGGATCGCCAAGCTCAAATGTTCCTGAAAATTCAGGCGACTATCCAGGATAACTCCCAGATATCGTGAGCTCCTCTGCTCGTCAACGCAATTACCCTTCACTCGCAACTTCCCGAAGATCTTCACGTTAGTAAATTTTTTCGTGAAGTTGACGAGTTCTGTTTTGTTAGGGTTAATCTCGGTTTTGTTACGCTCGAAGTACGCCACGACCAACCTGTCGAGGTGGATCTAAAGCTGTTGCTTCGCCACCTCGCTCGGGAACGAATGTGTGTATATCACAGTGTCATCTATAGTCTGGTTCACATGTACTCGATTTAGCTCTTTTTGGTGACATTTTTCAGCCCTGTCCAAAAATTACGACAAAGGTGTCATTCGATTCGTATTTTTGCCTAGAAAGTTCAAGGAAAGGTCCAAAAACGCGCAGATTATAAATATATCTGTTATTTTGTTTCTTGTTTTCGAATTTTCGTAATGTAAAATGAAAATAAATATTCAAAAGAAAACGAGAGCAAATCTTACAAAACCATTGATACTTTCATGAATTGTGAGTATAAATACACCCAAAATCAATCTTATATCTAGGGCAACAAAACCACTGTAGACCAGTGTTATGAAACTTATCCCCTATTCTGTACGAGGTCTGTCTCGTTTGAAAGAACTTAGGAGAGCCAAGACCAAAAATGTACCACCAAATGCCAAGGTTTTCCTTCGACTACCGAGGCATACTACATAGTAATTTTTCTGACAAAAACAACACCTTAGTTATGCCTCAGCTACCGTATTTACCATATTCGCCACCCTGCGATTTTTTCGTGTTCCCAGGATTGAAGAAAGGGCTTTTTGCGACGATTGACTGGATGAAAACTGAATCGCTGAGAGCCCAAATACAGACCAAAAAGTGCATATCAGAACTGTTTTGAAAATTGGAAAAAACGCTGCCACAAGTGCATTATATCTGAAGACAACTACTTTGAAATAAATATTTCTATCTAAAAATGAAAATTCATCCTACTTTTTGAAAATACCTCATATGTGTTCGAATTGTAATTACACTAGACAGAGAAAA